GCACATTTTTCCACTGCTATCACAATTTTTCTACATGACTGGTTAAAAGCTGCACACAGAATTGCATAGAGAAAGAAACCAACCTCTGCTCAAAGGAATACTGAAGCCGAAAGACAGACTTCCACTGATTCCAGTGAGGTTTAAATCTGCTTTGCCTCAGGTGGCTGCATTGGAGATATATATAATCCTTTGATAGAAATCATTTTGCTCATTAAAGCTGTGTCTGTGGAACCAGGAGTGGCTTGGAAACACTGTGAGTAGAGGAGTTGTTTTTAGTGAGAGTCCTAAGAATCAAGAAAAGTAAAGCTTCAGAATTGTGTCAAGAAGCAACTGAAAACACACACAAATAAAAATATTTCATTAGATCATTATGCATAAATAAAGAGTAATATAAATCTGTTTCAGGAGTTATGGAATCTGGTTGATTTTAGCAATTCCACTGGGGGTGGGAAAGAGGCAGCAAGGCACCCTGTTAATTAATGCTGCCATTAATATTTGAATAATCAATTAATAATTTAATACATTTGCAGATAATGGGTAAAGGATGGGAACTGCAGGGAATATTCAGTTTTGGTAGTACTGAGGGATTTAGGACAAATTAAAACACATTTAGGAAAAAGCTTGTGCAGACCTTTCCTTGAAAAAGATGCATGTGGTGCATAAAGACTGTACTCAATTTTTTGCTAAAAGTATTCTTCAGCCTCCATTGTCTGTGAGCCTTTCAGATGAACCATGGACTGATGGCTCTTGCAAGGTAAGAACTGGGAGCTCAGGTACAAATCCACCTCCTCTCTCTACCTTTAAGTGCAATTCTACTGTTGTATCTGAAATTTTGTGTTCCTGAACACCCAAGGCATCTTATCTAGTACAAGGTGTACAGGAATTTACCTACAAAGAACAGCTCACAAACAAAAGTGGTTTATATTTTCTTTTCAAAAGCAAAATAATTAGACCAGACGGGGAACAGAGAGACCATCTGTGGTTAATTAAAGGGTGAGACTGCAGAGCAGCAACAGATGTTATACTGCTGTAGTCAGAGTTTATTGCTAACAGTGGTGAATACTGCACATGGTGGACTGGGTATTTCCAACCAATTATTTAACAGGCAGACTTCCACAGAGGTTACCCTTTTCTTCTTGGAAAAAAGAAGGTTTTGAATGTCATGAATGTTGGAGTTGCAGGAGTAGTCTAGATAGCAAAGTGTTTTATATCCTGAGATGAGGACTGATAGTCCTCAAAAAGCCATTGATACCCATCACAAAAAAAACTTTCTGGAGCTGATGATTAAAAAAGTGGGCAGGTCTGCATGAAGAAGACATGACAGAAAAGGCCAACATTCCCACAGCTTCACTCAGTTCCTGAAAGGCCCCTTTAAAACTAGAGATAAGCACAGTGAGAGGGTTCACGTGGCTGCGTAGATCAGACAGATCCTCTAACTGATGACATTTGAGCATGGAGCATGGAGTAACCCTGGAGCAGGGAACTCCTTCCATCTGGGTCCATTTCTTCTCCTGAGAAACTCCTGAAAGCTGTTTGAAACTAACCTGCTCCACCAGTCGAAGGGAAAAATTGTCATAAATGGAGCAGCAAAATCCATGGACTTTCTGCTGAACAGAAGGTGAACACACCTTACATTGCCTGACCTGACAGGGTCACATCTAGTTGGAGTTGTAAGGCTTTATAAAACCATTCAATTCCTTGCTTTTGTTGCTTCCTATTTGCGCTGTTCTGATTAGATGTGCAGGTTCAAATATTCCTATTGATGAGGCTCCACAGATCCTAGGGTGTGGATCTGGAGGTTTGGGACTAGGTGGTAGCTACTCACCCATACTCATATATTCACATACTAACAGTATGGTAGGTACTCACACATATAGACATGCTGATTTTCATTTGTTTGCCTGCTTAATTGAGGTTTTCACTATATATCTGGAGTGGTCCAAAATGGCTATGAAATTCTATACTAAATTTCTATGCAATTCTTTCTCCACTTAATTTTTTTCCCCTTTCCCCTGCAGCTATTTTAGCTGGTTTTCTTTGTTAAGGCAGGGAGTGGCAATAGCCCACAGGTTTTGTTACCTTTGTGCCTCTACTTGCATCCCTACTCCCTTGGTCCCCATGGAGAGCCCTCCATGCACATCTCTTAGAACAGCCATTCTCTGCTTCTGAGGAACAATTTATGGCAAGGGGGAGCACTTACAGCTATCCCACTGATAAATAGGGGGCAGATAAAGTCTGGCTTTGTCCGAAAAAGATAAGCTGGAACCTGAGAATGGCTGAATACCTGATCAGTGATCTACAGTTACAGCAGCTGATGGGAAGTGGTGTCAGGAGAATCCAGAGGTTGCCATAGAAATGCAAAAAAAGGTGCAATCCTTGGGGAGTGCACCTGAATCAGGTACTGAACGTGCAGGAATCCTCTGTGAATGAAACTCTCAAGTTTAAGGGGGAAAGAGCAAGTGTATCATAGATAAAGATAATTGAGCTGTCTGCCCTGTGTGTGATATCAGGGGAGATCCCATCTGGATGTCAGCCAGGATTGCTGCTGTGCCTTTTTCCCAGCTTTGTTTGGGTGAAATATATAAACCTCAGGAGAACTTGCAGAGCATCAGTGTACATCTGGTGGCTTCTCTAGTTCCTTGTGCTAGGAAATCTAGAAAAACTTTATCATTTTTGGACCACGGCAAGCATTTCAGTTGCTTGTTATGGAAACCCTATGTAACAACAGCCTAGTGCACTCAACTCTGGGATAACATTTTTCTGACTGCTTTGAAGTGACTCACAGTTTTTAAAAAGGTATTTCCTGGGTGGAGGGAGGGGGTACAAAATGTACCGAATGGTGCTATTTTAAGGAAACCCTTTATTCTGAATATCCATCAAGCCAGCCACTGGCAAAGAGGGTGCTGTGCAACCTGTGTGCAATCCCTTTCTAAATCTGTTGCTGCACGCCCTCCCATATTCCTGAAAAAGGAGAGGAAGAATTATGGCAAAAAAAAAGATTGATATTTCTACTGTTTAGAAACATATTTTCTCCACACCAGAGGCTGTTTGGAGTGAAGAGAATTGACTGAATTTCAAAATACTGGAGTTACAAAAAACAAACATAGACACTTCCAATGCCCCAACAGTTTCAAATCCTCATGTGCACCAGCAGAGCATCCTCTTGGTGTAAAAGAGGGAATAGATGTTCTTAATATTGACTCTCTTAATTAGACCATGGAATCCCCAACAGGGCTTTGTTGGCCTTTTGAAAGTAAAATGAGACAATTTGTTTTTGGGGAGATACTGTTCCCTCATTTAAATGCTGATCTTAGAGGGAGGAAATCAAAGGTTATGTCTCAGCCCTGTCACAGACTTCCATAAGGGAGCCAAACTCTTAAAATCCTAATAAAATTAAAACAAAACAAAACAATGAGTTTTGACGGGGAAAAAGAGGAAAATATTTGGAGAGGACTGACTTTTTTTTCAATAAAGTTAATAATTTGCAATTTTATTCCAGATGACGTTATCTTTTCAAATTCCATTTCTATATAGAAGGAATAAATAACCCAAAAGTAAATTTTAAAAATGAAACTCCAAAAATTTTTTTTTTTCATTGAAACAGTTCTCCCACTTTTACGTGCCTTAGTCTGGACACTGAATGAAAAAATAAATTATTTTTGCATATCCCATTATGTTACCAAAAGTTGTCACAGAGAAAAATCTTTTTATCTAAGACATTAATAAAATCTTAGGCCTCAGAAATATATAAAATCAGATTACGTTGTTACAGACCAATCCTGAATAGAATGCCTGAAACTGGAGTACTTATTTTGGTTTATATTTTTTATGGTTTTGAAAGTATTGTTGAGAAGAAAAAATGAGAAGAAAACCTTTTGTCCAGACTCTAAATTTCAAGCCTGGTTGACAAATCATCAGGAAAAGAAACAGATTTTTTAAGAAAGTTTAATTTTCATTCATGACAGAATAAACTTATTCCTTAAATGCTTGTAGGTGAAAGCTTGATTAGTGAATATGTTTATCTTCCAATGAAATGCAGTTCTGCAAAATATTTTACTTTACAGTAAATCACAACAGCAGCAATTTTTGTTGGTTTATGTGCAGCGTACATGGAGATGCCACATGATATACACAGCTTGATTCTGTTCTCACTCCTCAGCTTTGCACTGGTGGTTCAGTGGCGTGATTCCTCTTGACACTGTCTGGATTCCAAGTCTGAGAGGAGAATCAAACGTGCAAGGTTTGGTTTTTAGTTTTCTCTTTAGGACAATGAGTGCCAAGGAGATTCTCTGGTTCTGGCAGCTTCAGCCATTCTGATGGCCTCCCTGCTCACCAGCACATGCATTCCAGTTCCAGCTAAGCAAAGCACGATGTATCCATAGAGGCAAGTGCCCAGTGATTTAAATTCCTTCTGTTCACGCTCTCCCAGAGCCCTGCATGCCCTCCAGAGGTGGCACCATGTGGCAGTGTAGGTTAGGAAAGCACAAAGAGTCCTTGAGATCCCACATGTTTACAAACCTTCCGCTGGCAGCTACAGCCAATGAGACCATGAGGTGTGTGCACTTCTCCATGGTCAGTCCTTCTCCAAGGTCAGTCCTTCCCCATGGTAAGTCCTTCCCCACAGTCAGTCCAACCTTCCCAAGGACAGAGACTAAAGCAGGAGTGTCCCTGTGCCCCACAGGGCATCTGCAGGAGGAGGGATAATTGCCAGAATTCCTGCCAGGAGAATTCCTGCGTTCCTCCCCAACTCACACACATCGGCACCGCAAGAACCAGCTACAACCCAATACAGCCTTTATCTCCCACTGATGAAATCTGGAAATGCTGCATCCCAGAGGGCATTTAAATTGTAACAGAGATCCTCATATCTGGAGATTCTAAGGAAGCAAAAGAGACTCCTTTTGCTCCCTGTCCCTTGTCTCTCCCTCGCTTGTTCCAGGTTTGGAATCACATCACGCAGTAAGCAGAGGTGAGCACAGCCTGCTGCCTTCCCTCAGGAGTCACACCACTGTGTGCTGTGAGCTGAAGGAGGTGAAGCTGCCCTTGGGGCTGTGGTGACACTGGGAGAAGCTGGAAGCCCTGGCCCTTTTGCTTTTGGTCCCACTCTCGTGTTTCCGCTTGTCGCACGCAATAAAGCTTTCAATCAGCTTCAGCTTTTCATGCTCTTCCTTCAAAAAGAAGTCAACAAGCACGGTTTTCTCCTTTTTGATCTGTTCACTGATGTCCTTGGGGATGTCAGGGATCATCCAGTCAACCAGAACACTGAGGAACATCACCAAGTTCTGCAAGTACAGCAACAGACGTGAAGCAAGCATGAAAAATCCAAAATACTCACACTGGAGCAAAACAAAACATTTGTTATAGCTATGAGACAGATGTCAAACAGATTTTGCTGGTAGTGTGTGGTAGTAAGCAGTTGATTAAGGCTTTATTGCAAGAAATAGCTCAGGTCTGTACACAGCTACTCCTCAGTGTAGAGGCTGAGTTAAACACAAGCTTTAGTTACATTTGAAATAGGAAAGGACATGGAATCATTAAATAATCCATGGCCTTAGTAGCTAAACCAGCATTATCCTTTACAGGCATCCAAAGGTGCCCAGTTCTCAACATCCAATTCCTTGATACTGAGTTTGGAATCCATTAATATAAGGCTATTCCCCAATACAATCAAAAATCCTACAGCACAAGGCAAAGATAACCCGTTTGTTTCCAGTGTGGCCTGAGCACATAGCAGACAACTTTCATGGCCATTCTGTCCTCAGATTCCTCTGTCTGCTGACAAGCAGAATTGTTTTTACACTACCATAGTGTACAAGCCAAAACCCCAAACCTCAGGTGTCAAGGTGATTACAGGTGGTGCTCATAACTTCTAGCAGGAAGCAGACTGGGAAAAAAGCTTCACTTGCTTGTGAAATCTATAGATAATCAATGTTCTGGGGATTTGTACTGTCATGATAATGCTTTGAGAAGCTCTATGCTGTGTAACGCTTGGAAACGTGTGAGAACAGTTTGCTGACAGGGCTGCTAGCATGAACTCTTTGTCCCCATCTGAGACAGTGGAGCTAATTAACCAGGGAATGTTCTCTGGCAGAGCAGACAGAGGGCTTGAAGCCCAGCAGAACCAGTTGCTTTCAACTGCTTTGCAGTCAGTGGTGGAAAATTACTGAAGGCATGACGAAGAAGCAGAAGAGGGCAATACAAACCAGACAAGATTCACAGAAACACTTGGGAACAATTGGCAGGTGAGGACAAAAGAAAGGCAGATTTGAAATAGAGGGATGGGCCCAATTTGGCTGTGGAAGGATCCCAGATTATGGAGAAGAGCAGAAGGGAGCCATTCGAAAGGCAAGCCATGATAGCAAATCCCTTGCTAATTAAATCCTCACACTGGGGACAATTTACTGCACTCAATTCAAGAAAGTAGCAAAAACCCTTAGAGGATTTATTACTCCTGTTTATTTCTTGCTTTGGGTAAAGAGCAGTTAACAAGCTTACACAGCATTTATGTGCTTTTTGCAAGTGGTGCCTCTGAGAGTATAAAAGTTGACAGAGTCCACTTACACATAATTTTAAAACTTAAACCTGTGGTATTTTGGGGGTCACTGCTAGCACCAAGGGCTAAAGGAAGCTGTGTGTCTTGCCTTCCATGTTTATTGGACATGAGCTGCTTCGGAACATGCGTTTGGATCCATTTATGATGATATTTCTGTGACTGAAAGTGAAGCAACTCATCAGACTTACCTGAAATAGAATCACAAAAGCCAAGCGAGCAGATAAGACCGCCCAGTACTGCTTAGAAAACTCATACTGCTGTGGAGACCAAGGTGGTTCTCTGTAGTCTTTGAACCTGGAAATAGAGACAACTCAGCTATCATAGTTCCAGCAATTTCCTCCAGCATCAATTGCTGTGATTAACATGATTTTCCAATCACAAAACCTAAAGAATCAAATCCTCCAGATGTTCTTACTTCAACCATTACTATGAAATACAACTTCAGAATTAGAGCTGGCCTACCTCCACTGAATTTAACACACTTAGTTTCGTTTTCACAGTTGTAACCAACATTGGAACATTGCTTTAACATTAGAATGTCCAGATTTCAGAGGATTTACAGAAGTCCCCTTTATTTTCTTAATGTAAATTGACATCAATATACAGGGAATAAAATGCTGAAATGAAAGCAGAGAGATAGTCCAAGGCATTTTCAGACTAAAGGAGATAAACCTGCATTCATCTCACCTAAAACTTGATTAATTTAGGGAATAATTCAGCCCACATAAAATGTGACTCATGCTTTGGTGGTTCCTGCCTTTGCATTAACGAAAGGGGGAGCCATGGGAAAGGCACTTCCTAAATTAACTGTCTAGCCTTGGACAGGATAAAACAGAGCCTTAGTGGTTTGGTGTAAAGACTTGCTTTTAGTATTATCATCAATCATTTGGAAGTAAACAACAGGCTAATAAAAATCACAGATGCTCCTAAATTGGAAAGTTTTGCAAATAGCAGGAAACACAGAGAGCAATAGGAAATGGAGACAGGAAGCACAATGAGAATAATATGGGGAAATGGAAAATAATTAAAAATAAAACACTTGAAGGATCTTTGAAGGGATAGTGTTTGAATGTGGAAATAGCCTGGAGCATGCATTGGCCAGCAAGTTAGCACAAGTTTGAAATATGGCAGCAGGACAGTGTATGATTTGTGGGTGTATCAACAAGAGGCACAATGGTGCTGGGACAGTGGAGTTAGCCTTCCTCTGAATGGCCCAGGTAAACCCACACCTGTAACGCTTTATTCAGCCATTCAGCTGTGCAGATTCCAGAGGGGAGGGGCAAGGAAAAAGGAGTAAGAGAGAGAGAGAGAGAGAGAGAAAGAAAGAGAGAAAGAGAGAAAGAGAGAAAGAGAGAAAGAGAGAAAGAGAGAAAGAGAGAAAGAAAGAAAGAAAGAAAGAAAGAAAGAAAGAAAGAAAGAAAGAAAGAAAGAAAGAAAGAAAGAAAGAAAGAAAGAAAGAAAGAAAGAAAGAAAGATGGAAACCAAAAAAAAAGATAGTGACAAATTGAAGGGAGTTCAGGAGAACAGTACAAGGGCTGAGGAGACTGATTGAGAAGATTAAAGAGCAGCACATGTATTGCTCCACTTTGGTAAGTAACAGCCACAGTTGGACATGATAACCATGCACAAATTGTGCCCTCAGGACTAAAAGGGATAATTTAGTGCTGTTCCCAGTGTTTGACTAGGAGTAATGGGATGAAATTAAGAAAGGGAAAATCTGTTTTGAATACCACAAAACCCGTCCTGACAGTAAGATTCATTAGACTGTGCAAAAATCTCCATTGGGGGATAATAGAGAAGGTTCATATATATAATCTGTCAGCTTCAGTTTGCAGGTGTGCTTGCCAAACTTACCTTCAGGTTCTACCCACATGGTTTTGCATGTTAAATTACACATTTGCAATCCACGTATCACGTACATCCTGCCGCTCCCCACCCCCAAGAAACAGTCTGGAATGCTGGATGTGATTCTGTGCTGCAGTTTCTGCAGACAAAGGACACAAGTACAGCCCACAGGAAGGAGCAGACCACTTTAAAGTGCGGGCTGTGTTAATTTAGGGAAGAACTCCCTGGGCTGTGTTAGCTCCTGGATGGTTTTGTTCAGCAGTGCATGCACAGGTCCTGTCTCAGGATTTCTGTGCTCTTCCTGCACTGCCAGATCCCCCTTCTGGAACTTTTCTGGACATTGTGGACTCCCACATGTTGCTCAAATCTGTAGAAGTGCTACATCAAGAGCCAAAGTCAGTTCCCTTGAACTTCATCTGCTTGAACATCAAAGCCAAGGAAAACCACTGAGTTTCTTGTGGACTTTTCTGACCACTATAAATCAATTCCAGTCTTGAAATGGAGCCCAGGTTCACCTGGAAGAATCACCAACTGTGGTGAGTTTTCCATTTAATGCATTCTGAGCTTCACAAACAATGTAAGTATTGCAGAACATGAGACCCCTTGGAAATCTCACCTGGCTCAGCTGGGAATCACACTGCTTGTGATGCCTGAACCTACACTAAACAGAACATGTGTAAATGATTTATGGTGAAGGAAAATGTTGCCAGAGCTATAGATGAGGTAGCTGGGCCTCACCCCCACCTCCTTTTATAATTATTTTCTGGCATGTGGGACCTTTTCTAACCTCTACATTCTACAGGTGATTTCTTTTTTACAAATACTATCTTTTCAGCTCAAGAAGCATTTGGACACTACCCTCAGGTGTGATTTTTTGGGTCTTCTGTGCAGGGTCAGGATTTGAAGATCCTTGTGGGTCCCTTCCAACTCAGGATATTCTATGACTCTCTGATTCCCTCACCTTTTCAATGCTTCACTCTTAAAATATTTGATTCAGCAGGTATGGCAAGAACAGCAATCAACCAGTGCTGCAAAGACTATTGTGTTTCCAAAATAGCAAGCATGTAATTCCACTTTAATTCCACTGAAAAAGGACAAGAATATGTAGTGGTCAATGTGGTTGAAGAATAGAGCACAGGAAAGTCATAAGAACAGAAAAATGTGCACTGAAAGTAGAGAATTGTAGGGGAAGGGAAGCTGGGTAGAGAGAACCACAGAACACTTGGACAAATGTGAACTGAAGCCAGAGCTAAGACAAAGATGTTAATGTATTTCAGAAGTTTATTGTATGGGGGAAAAAAAAGACTGGTAAAAAAAAACAAATCAAACTATATATATTGGTGGAACTTGAAATCAGTCCAAATAAGCAAATCTGTTCAATTTCCTTCATCAGCTGGTCTTTGAGAAGAAATTGGGAAAAACATCCAGAATCACAGAATCAGCAGTGAAGGAATATATAAAAATTAGTCAGGGAAAAATGTTAGCATCCACAACTGACCATTAGGAATAGATGAGATGAATCCCATGACATGAAGAAAATAAATTCAGAGAGACTTTATAAAATTGCTGAATGTTGGAGCAGACATGTTAAAGCCCCTTGAATGACTCTGTATCTGCTGCTTCCTTATTTCAGTGTGACCAGCAATTTTGTATATACTCCATTATCATACAAGGCTACAAGGACCAAAAGGGAAAAACCAATAAAAATATCCCATATCTTAGCAAGATTTGCTTCTAATTTGCCTTCAGCTATACAAATGCCACTTTTCCCTGAAAAAAAAAGTAAAATTACAACTAATATTGTGCATCAGAACAGCTTTACAGCAACCTTTATTTGGAAGCAGTGCCAAAGAGTTCACAGCACTGTAGAAAATGCTGCTCTAAATATTGGAAGAATGTATTCTCTGTGTTCAATGGCAGAGTTGTTTCTGGCGTGTTACGGTTATTTTTAAGATACCTTAATCTCTGGCAATGCCCATAAGGAGCAAAATGCAGCCTCATTGCAACCACATTTATCTCCAGAGGTCACAGAAATCTAAGAATAAGAGAGGTCATCTTGTTCCCAATGCATTTGCCAGAAACAGAAATACAGATTTTATTTCCAGCTTGAGGGGCAGTGTTTGGTTGCCTGTCTCTTGGGACACAAGTTAGAGACCCCATACTTTATCACAGTGATAGTTCTGTCCAAAGCTGAGATTCTGATAAGATTCAAATGAGAAAGATGATAATGAGAAACACTGTTTGTGGATGCTGACATCTTTTCCCAAATGTTTCCTGATAACAGAAGAGAAATGCTCCCATAGTTCTGTCTCACTCAGACTAACACATGGTCAAACATTATTTTTTTTCTTCTTCTCAGTCTCTTAGAAGGTATCATCAGGCAGGGACCACTTTTGTACCCAGTGTAGATGATTCCCTCCTCCCAGTATCTGGGCTCTGTTGAGTATTTGGCTGTGTATGACCATACTAATGTGAGGAGTGCCTTTCACCCCTGCTGTTAATGCACATATTTCCAAGCACACCAGCACTTAAACAGCTATAAACAGAGGCCAGTGGCTGACACAAGGTAAAAAGCAGCATTGTAAAAGTAGCAAAATCACAGTGAAGTGGATCAATATGCTTGTTGAAGGAAAACACAGGCAAATTTAGGGAAAAAAAATTAAAAAGTACTAGAAATTGAGGGTGCAAAAGCATTTCACAGACTTACAAATCTAAAAGTTCGGAGATGTTGCATATTCTAACAGGGAATATTTTGCTAACAACTCCCAGCAGCAGAAAAAGGGAGTTGCAGAGCTCACATGCTTACAAGCTGCTTAAAAGTTAGGAGGGGCACCCATCTATCCTGTGCTGAAGTCAAGGTGAGAATGTAGGTATCCCCAAAGGCATTCCCAACAGCACTGCCATAGAGAGACAGATTTCTCTCCCTATTTACCCTGCTTCTGATGAAGAAACTGGGATGTGCCATTTTTGTGGGTTATAGTTGGGCAAGGTATGTACCTCACTTAAAATCAGTGAGATATATTGCACTTCAAAGCAAGGGAGAGAAAACCTCTGTACATTAAGGCTCTCCTTAAATAAATGAAAGAGGAACTTTTATAATTATTTTGTGCAGAGACCAAGCACAGGGTGATTTCGAGGGAGTCAAAAAGGAAGGTGAGACAGGCTGTTGAATATAGCACTGACCCAAAGAACCTCAGTTTTGAACAGCTGGGGGTTGTAATGCCTGAAATCAGCTCTTTGAATTTCTGCATATTATTATAAAAGAACAAAGTCAGTTTGAAAGCTGGAGCCACATTAGTGATTTCTCATGCAAACTGGAACTACTCCATGGGTATCTGGTATTTGGTACATATTTTAAAGGAAGTTGAGCCTTGTTTCCCCAATCTGAAAAGATGAATCTGAAATAGAAGACATGTAGATGGCAACTGGTTCAGGTTTTAAAGTTGGACATAATATATTGAAAACCCATATCTCAGCAAGTGAGGACTGAATTTAATAAAGACAGAGAAAACCTGGTTCTAATCACTGTGTGTGAGAAAAAAGAACATTATTTTTAATTAAATCTATATCTTTCAGTAAAGAAAGTGTTAGTTTGCTTTTTTCTTTGGATCAAGTCTGTCTAAATTGTTTATTTTGCCTTTTAATGCCCTGAAAAAACCCTTTTGAAGACCTTGTTACACAGTAAGAGTACTCTAAAAGCTGTACTTCCAAACCCACATTTTCAAACATACATGAATATTGCTGAATACATGACCATATAAGTGAATTTTATCAATTCCCACTTTGAAAAATAACATAAGAGCCAAGGAAATTCCCTTGACTGTGCAAACTGCCCTTGCAAGTACTTTACCTGCAGAACAAAACTTCCTGTGCAAACAAGGAGTTTTCAGGCTGTGTCCCAGCCTTGAGCTGGCTGACATTGAAGTACGAGAGGGTGTGATTGATGAAGCCATGCATGGTTCCATTCTGGCTGTATGCATATTGATACATAAGGCGTGGGATGAAATCAGAGGTGACAGCAATGACAAAAGCCTGAGAGATGGAAAAACAAAAAAAATCAAACTAACAACCAAACAACAGCATTGTGAATCTGTGTCTCCAGGTTAGTTAATTCAGGGGAAAAATTTGATGTTCAGGTAAACTTCGAGTGGTGGTGAAGGGAGAGTTATAAGGCCAGAATTGGTATAGAACATCTACATATAAATGCACAGTATAAACCTGTATATAATATATATAACAAAACTGCTCTGTCTCTCCAAGGGAAGGCTCAGCTAAGGAAGTAGCAAAAGTAACTAACCAACTGTCCATTGCTCCAATTCTTTTCATTTCTGGAGCCATTAGGAGGTTTATCACTAGTTTAAAAAACACCTACAACAAACTTATTAGCCAGTTGGTATAATATGGCCTATATTTTAGTGTAGTTACACCAAACAATGTCCATTTTCCCCTCAGCATCAGGATTCACACATCTCACATGGGGGGTATTAAACGCTAAACATTTGATACATGCTGGTATTAAACCTCATGAGACTGGTATCCCATAAAACTGGTGTAATTGTGGAGGCAATCGATCACAGAATATCAATAAGAATTCCTTTGATTTCTGCTCTGGATGCACTCCTGTTGGAGCAGGTCCAGAGAAGGCCATGAAGATGGTCAGAGGGCTGGAGCCCCTGTGCTGTAGAGACACGCCAAGAGAATTGGTGTTCAGTCTAGAAAAGCGAAGGATTTGGGAGGAGACTTTAGAACCCCTTCCAGTGCCTGAAGAGACTTTAAGAGACCTGGAGAGGGACTTTTGACAGGTGCCTGGACTGACAGAACAAGAGGGAATAGAATCAAACCGACACACAGGAGATTTAGATTGGATATTAGGAAAAAAATGTTCCCTGTGAGGGTGGTGAGGCCCTGGCACAGGTTGCCCAGAGCAGCTGTGGCTGCCCCATCCCTGGCAGTGTCCAAGGCCACGTTGGATGGGGCTCTGAGCAACCTGGGATAGTGGAAGGTGTCCCTGCCCATGGCAGGGGCCTTGGAATGGGATGGTCTTTAATGTCCCATCCAACCCCAACCATTCTATGATCTTACGATGATTTAAATTTGTGTTTTACTAAATAATAATTTCCTGTGTCAGTATTATCCAGATGGAGAAGTAGAATTGGGCATTCAGTGTTTGGGGTTTTTTCAAACAGGTATGCACGTATTTATATTTCTTTCAAGAAAATGTATCTAACTCATACTTTAATGGAATCTCCAGGAAATAAAAATTTCTAGAGTTCAATCAAGACAGGAAATAATCAAGGATCATAAATCTGCAAAGTGTATTCAGAGAAAAACAAGAAGCTGCAGAGTTTTTATCCTCCAGCATAGCTCAGTGCTGGACAGCTGAAATCTGTGCCTGACAGTGAGATTATGGGGATGTGTGGGGTTCCACAGATTTCCTGTCTTAAATCCTGGAAACTGGAGAGCCATGAGTGAAGAATGCTCCACCCAAGTGAAACAACACTGTCCCTCTGGCAGCTTTGGAGTGCTGTGTTGTTGTGCTAGAAGCTATTTTATTAAAGAAATTGCATAACAACCCCTCCACAAGTTCTCCCTTCAATAGTAAAAATTACCTCCCTTTCTAAAGAGCTTTGACATCTTTAATATCTCTGGTATCATCCCATGACCTTAAAGGTATTTTCCAACATAAATGATCCTATGAGTTTATGATCTGTAGGTTAAAAACCCATTAGAAACTATTAGGATGAAAGTCCTAGGGCATGAGATTTTTTTATCTTAAAGCATATACAGGAAAATTTTTCTTAGAGAGTACATAAAGCACAATAAACATAACGTATCTGTATTCTGTTGTATTTGAGCAATTGAGAAAATTAGATGCCACTTTTAAATTATGTTGAAGGGACAATGAAATATAAAATATTATAAAGATTGAATTATAAAGAATTTTAATTTACGTTGAAGGAACAGTATAAGCTCCCAAGATCATGGTTAGAAATTGGTATAACCAAACACTTACATTAATCATCACTGAAAGCTTTCCAATACAACTCAAGATGTTATACCAAATACCTGTAAGTGAAAGAAGAAAACTTATTCATTATTCATTATAATGGGTTCATTATAAATTTTCTTTGTATTTTTGGTCTAATCTTCACTACAGTGCTCTTTCATTACTCACCTATATCTTTTTCTCTCACTGTGTCTGGCCTCCTCAGCTCAGTAACAAATTTTTTTGCATCAAGACGAACCTCAATGATGTTGTTCAGAAGAGCAAAGACAGGGGCCAGAGGGAAGGAGGCAACAAAGAGTGTGACAAAGCCAAATTGGATAACTGGGGGAAAAAAAAGAAACGTTTTTTGATAGCTTCTGAAGGGAGCAGCAAATTGTTAATGAGCTTTGTGCATTACCAACCCCATAAAATTCTACTTCCCAGTTTGGTCCCAGAAATAAATATCCCAGACTAGGGCTATGAAAAGACAAAAGTTTGTCACTATGCTTTATGAGTGTTTCCAATAAAGCCTCAAGTTGCTAGCACAAGCACAAGCCAAAGGAAAATAAATTTAATAAAGGACAAAGGGTTCAGAGTCTATTTTTCTGCATTTACACATAATTAACTGATTAGTCCATGCTGCTTCTTTCCTGTGCTTTTCTCTGTAAGGAAAATTATACACAATCAACTAAAAGAAGAAAATCTACAAAGTGCCACTATTTCTTCCAGCTTCCTTTGAAAAACTTGGTGGCAGCCTGTGAAAAGCAAGAACAGAAGTGTCTCTGTGGATGCAGGAGCCAGTGGTGCTGTGCAGCACTTTGATCCCTCCTTTTGTCACTGATATCCTCCAAGTTTAGAAATACTACTCTTTAAATCTGAATGAAGGTGAATTTTATATAAATATATATAAAAATAAATATATTAAACTAATAAATGTGACTGTGATCTACATCTCAGAGTTAAAAAAATATTAGCATAGAAAAAGTATTGGTGTGTTTAAATGCCATATTTACTGTGGCATCTTTTTTGGCAAATTCCTGTATAAGTTCTCTCTCCACTGAGGGAGGAATTTCACTTTTCTGAGAAAATAGTACAATATTCTGTGTACATAGCACAATATATATGTACTTTATATATATATATTATATAAATATATACTATATATATACACTGTATATATACTATAAATATATACAATACATACTATAAATATATACTATATATTTACTGTATTTTATACTTTAAAATATTTTCCTTCAGCACTGTTGTCACAACCTACAACTAACTCTTGAAACAGTTTTCCCCAGGACCTTCTCACTTACACTTTTTTTTTTGTGTACAGGTTGCAAGTCATCTGATATTTCCTCTTTCTCATCTCAGGAACAATAAAGTAAAATCTCTGTATATTAATTATTATTATTATTATTATTATCATTATTATATACTATTTTAGTATATACACTATATTTATAATATATATATTGTATTATTATCATTAATATATACCATTATTATTATTATTATTATTATATGGCCTTTAGATTTTCATTCTTATTGTTTTTTTCTGAGCTAAAGTATATACACTAAGATGGAGCTTTTTCAAAGCACACAACATCCTACTTTTGAAATGATACTTCCCTGACTATTTTATGTTCAGAGTCAGGAAAAGGAATTAACAAGGAAATAAAACCAGATATTAAAGTAACAAAAACAGTTCCCCCAAAACTGTGAAATACTTAGAAAAATACATAACCCCAAAGTATGCCTTATTTGTTTCTAAGTGAATTTAGCAGGAATACAGCTGGGAGGATTCTGTAAAAAGATAAAATGAAAAGGAAAAAAAAAATAAAATGTTTGCAATGCTTTAAGAATAAACCACACACACATTTGCTTTGATGTTGTTTGTAGCCTCTTCATTCATTGTCTGGGAAAATGCAGTTAAATTTTTTTTTCAAGTTCATGAAAAAATGTTCAAGGTATGCAAAGGACTTCTGGATAATTGTGTAAATATGTCTTCATAGAAAACTGTGCCAGAAGTGTTTGTGTGGCCATCTTGAAATCTCTTCAACCTTCTCAACTCCTTCTTATGAAAGTGTAAATGATGCAAAAAGCAGGCAAAAAAGCAATCCCAAAGCCAAAACCAGAATTTAGATGGCCTTGCATAACAAATTAGCAAACAATCATTAAATGGAGGAGTCTTTGAACAGCCTCAGCAATTCACAGGTACTTGTTGAGTGTGATCAGTGTTTCTAAAAACAAACCTGAATAGATTACAAAGAGAGGTATTGCTGTCCAGATCCTAGGAGGAATCTTTTCTCAGTATCCTGGAGTTCTGTGGATGCCTGTCTGGTCACACTGGAAATATTTACACTACTTTTAGGACACTCACACTCTTCCTTAAAGGACAGTTGACACCAAGTCATCCCTTTTTTGGCTGAAAAACTTGATGGCAACCCTTAAATACCCTTTTTTACACTTATGTTTATGCCATAAGGTCTCCATACAAAGCTGTTCATGTACATGGAAAAGGCTAAAGAGACCCGTGCCAGGAGCTGGACTGTTTCATAGTTTTCCTACTCCCCTGTAAGCCAGTCTGGAGAAAAGAGAGATGAAAATTCCCCATGCTCATGGCACAAGCTAGGAAATAAAACAATTGAAGGTTGGGTGTTGTGGAAAGTCAGCTACATGTGAAATATCTTCTTGGGCATCCAAACATGACCCTGGATGTGCTGTCACTGACACAAAGCCTACTTCTGATGAGGGAAAAAGCCCAAACCACGCACTAGTGGTGCCCTTACTGTCTGAGTTGAGCAGGAAAGAGGCCAAGGGCTCAGAGCCAGCCCTTCAGTTTTGCAACCCCTGATGCCACATCTGGAATACCTCATCCAGCCTCCGGCCGAGACAAAAACTCTGAAGGACAAACATCATCCAAAGAAGTGTCTCAGGTCACAGCCCTTCTCAGAATTCAGATCTTCACAGAAACTGTGCAGGGCCTGAGCAGAACCTGAGTACAACAACAACACACCCTGTCCCTCCAAGTCTGGCCTCCAAGTTACGACTAAGAGCACAAATCAGAGCTTTTAAATTATGGACCTGGAGGGCGGTGGCTGCTGTTCTTGTGTAAGGGATAAAGAATCAGTCCTCAGCAGAAAACCCTCCATGGTGTGGATCACTCAGGTTCTACAAGATTTACCTGTTCAGTAGTGTGAGGAACCCAAGTGTCTTTTACCTCAAAGCCTCGTCTAAGACAAGGTATTTATTTATGATTCTGTTGCTTTTTTTTCTTTCTTCTTTATCAATAATATCTGTCATAGGATCATGTGTTACTAGAAGTAAACAGTGGAAAAATCACTTCTCTGCTAAGCAACTTTCCAAATCCTAGGAAGAAACTTTTTGATATAGAGCCAGACCTGGCTGAAAAACTAAGGAAAAGGTGTAATTTATAACTCTTCTGTAATAAATGTATGTAACAAGCCTACACACAACCACCAATGGTATTTTCAAAACCATCCTCATTATAGAGATTATAGAAAAATGCAGTTTTCTCTTCAGTGATTTTTTTTTCTTTTTCTGCCTCACACATTGCCTTTTTTGATGGCTTTTCCTGCTTTAGGGGAAATTCTTCCAAACCGCTCAGATTAACCCTTATAGTAGTCAGTAGCCACAGACATGGGATCTGATCATTTTCTTCCTGTGCCATTGTTTTTAAACAGAAGTTGGATGATGAAACCTTTTATTATTACTTTTTCTTGAGGAAGAAAGTTTTTAATCAATTGCCACATGAAGCCTGGACTCCTAGAGGGGTTAGGCCAGAGATGGGAAGACCAAATGAAATAGGAATCAGAAAATCATTGCTGATTTCAGTTTCTTCTCAAGGAAACACAAGTGACAAGAAATTTCAGACATTCATGTGCATCATTTTGCTCTTGGAGCCGATTTAATAAAGTTTCTTCCATTAGCAATATTTATTGCTACTCTAAACAGCATTTTACAACAAATTTCTTGCCAACTTCTATCACTGCACGCCAGTTACACATGATGCAAACTTGCTGCCATGTGGAAGAGGAAACTGCTGTACATGCTACCTACTTTGGGAATGCACATAGTATGGTATATTGGCCTGGGTCAAAAGTCTTCGCACAGTTTTGGAAGCAGGAATTGCTAAGGACAAATTAGACACATGTTGACAGTGATAATTTATGTTTCAGGATTACTTGAGAAAAATTTTCTGATCACTCAGGTGTTTTAAGAGTGTATCCACTAAGAAATGCAGGAATATGTCAATTAATAATATCTAAACAGGCAGTCATCAGAAATGTCACTGATTTGTCACAAGTCAAATCTTTGTGCAGAAGTGCTATTGACATCCAAGGCCTACACAACAAAAAAGTTCAGCACAGTCTGCTGGTGAAATCAGATTCAAAGATCCTAAAAAATTAATCTTGTTACCCATAGAATCATTTGGGTTGGAAGGGACATTTAAATGTCATCTTCCCCAAACCCATGCAATAAGCAGAGATTTTCAACTAGATGCTGTTGCTCAGAGCTTCATCCAACCTGACCTGGAATGTTTCCAAGGATGGGGAATCCACCACATCTCTGGGCAACCTATGCCAGTGTTTCACAATCCTGATTGTAAAAAAATTCCTTCTTACAGCTAACCTAATTTGTTGGCATGGACTACAGTGACTGGTATTTTGCAGAAACAAATTCCAGTGAACAGAGTTACATTTCCCAAATCGGAAAATAGAGGAGGTTAAAAAATAACCAGTAAATCTTGCTATTTCTATGAACCTACCATGATTGTAATGAGGGCAGGGGTAGGAGAGTGAGAAAGTGGAAGTCTCTCTAAGGCTTCAGGATTGTTAGAATAAGAAAAAGAACTAAAAAGAAAACAGCTTTGAAATGGACATCCCAGAATTTAAGTGGGGTACTGATCATCAAAAATTCCTTTACTTGTGGTGCATCATGTTGCAAAACACATCCTGAGACTGTTCCAAGCCCTCTCCCTCAGAGAAGTGCTGCCTTAATGGGATTAATTTGCTTCATAACAAAGTGCAAAGAGAATGTGTGATTTGCCATGTGTGGAGTGGGCCAGACTCCAGGCTTTGACAGAAATCAGTAAATGAGAGAGGATATATGGATAGAAAAAAAGCAAGAACTGCCTATGATTAGGGTACAGCCTAATGAATGATACACCTGGAGGCAAGAGTCTTAGCTAAGGATGTCATCCATCCTCAAAAGTAGGAGCATCCTGGCAGGACAAACCTGAATGTAGAGACTACTCATACTTGTATACATAATCTGCCTGTTTTTGCATGAAACCCCATCATCATCTGCATGGGGAAACCCAAAGGCTGCAGCAAGCCCCATGTGCAGTTCTTCCTTCAGCTGCTTCATTCCAGATTCCTACTGATGTCTGAGGGAGGTTGCCTGAGTAAATCAGTGTGAAAACTAAGAACGAAGTTCTGAAACAGCAGCCAGATTTCTCTCTTTTCCTTAATATCACATCTCTTCTTACATTCCAGTAACCTTGTCTTTTTAAGCAATTCAGGATAAAAAAAAATACCTTCCTCTGGCCTTCTGCATTGCTTCCCTTCCCACTGTCCCCAACTCAAAATTAGAGAAATAGGTGAATAATCTGCTGAGCTGCCTCTTGTAGCGTGATGCCCTTGACAACAATCCCAGCTGACAGGTTGAGTGCTGAGCTGCACCAAGTGCTTCCTGCCAGCGTGGGTGGTCTGAGCAGTGGATCTGACAGCTGAGAGCAGGGACGTGGACCCAGGGCAGCAACCAGGGTTGGGGAGGTGCAGTTTGGCTTTCATCTGCCACACATTTGTCTGCAAATCCCATAGGCAGGGCACAGCTTGGCACACTGTGAGGCTTCTCCACTTGGGAAGCTTATCCTCCTGTTTTAAGCAAAGGTTTAGATCAATAATTCACCCATTCATTTTCCCTGAATTATCCCCGAGTGGGTGGGGGCTGAGGCACTCGCAATGGTTTATGATCCCAGCAAAAGGGACTGATCTAAATTACAGGCTCAGTGTCCAGTGGTTTATAACATCAGTACCTTAAACCCTGATACTACAAGTCAGAACCATGGAATAGAATCAGAATATCCCAAGTAGGAAGGGAACCATCGAACTCCAACTCCTGGCCCTGCACAGGACAGCCCAAGAATCCCACCATGTTCCTGAAAGCATTGTCCAAATTCTGGCAAGCTTGGGGTTGGGACCACTCCCTGGAACAGGAACCCCCCAAACCATAACAGACTGTGGTGATACTTCTGCATTTATTTTTTTTTTTATTTTTTTTTATAAACACATTAACCTACTCATTTTAGTGGCCATGATTTGACTCATCTTGGCAACTTCAACAATTTGCTCCTAAAATTAAAAAACCCAAACAGTTCCCTAAGGGACAGCATAACAAATGGTTAAACATGAGAGCTTCAAGAGGTATTCTGAAGTCAAAATACAGGTAAGGAAAACCCCACTGTAGCTTTTATTCATTGAAGGACAGACTACTGACCTGCTTCCTTTCTGAACAGGTGGCCTTAAATGAACCCATAAAACAAATTTGACATTTTGGAAATTTTGTTCAAACTTGCAGCATCAACAGCAAACTCAAGCAATGCTGACAAACATCACACCAGTATGTATTTGTTACTGGTAACTAAAGATCCTTGTCCTTAGACCTAACCAAGAAATCTGGGTTGTTAAAATACAGATGTTTCTGAGTTATTCCTAAGCATAAATTTTTTTTTTACAGGGAAAAAGTGTCTATGTTTTTTCACCATTGTTTAATTGCAAAAATTGCTAAGAGGCTTGCTTAAAGTTTACAGGAAGAAAAATCATCTTGGGCTGAAGTAATTAATAGAAAACAATCAGATAATTTTTCAACAAAGTATCATCATGTGCAGAAGGGGATGGAGTAATAGAAGTGGCAACACAGACAGATCCTAAGGTGAGTTGGAACAGTTGAGAGGGAAATAATGGGAGGTGACAGATTCTTGATGGCACTACAGAGGGCAAGGTTGGGATGCTAAACATATTAATAAGACATCCTCAAATCTGCCATCATGTGAAATACCTCATATACACTTGCACATTTATAGATTTACATAAATCTACCATTCTATACATTTTCACATACTAAATTTTAGATTATAAATTATATCTACAAACCAAGATTGTTTCTGTATAGAGAGATAAACCATATATGATATTTAATCTTTTTGCCATAAAATGTGTTCCCCTTTAGATATTTTGAGAATCATGACTTGTTAAAACAGGACTTGCCACATTCAATATTTAAGAGATTTCTGGTTTTAGACACCATGCCCACTGTGCTTCTCCATGAATTCTTGTGTGTCCTAAAGCTTGGGTTTGCCTGGATTATTTCTGTCCTTTCTACTCCCCCCACCCACAGCATTCCTGCTTTCTCCTTCCCTGCCTCTCCAGGGTCTACTCATGAAGCAGTTTACTGTGTCTGCTGTGCTGCCCAGTAGAAGAAAAACATGGACACACTGCAGTGAATCCACTGGAAAGCCATTAAGATGGTTAAGGGATCAAAGGACCTGATGAACAAGGAGAAGCTGAGACCACTGGGATTGCTGTACCACAGGAAAGGAAGATTCAGGGGATCTTACCCATGTGGCAGGTTGGAGAAGACAGAGTTAAAACCTTCTCAAGGGCAAGAAAGGAAAGGACAAGAGCACCAGTGGAAATGTAGGCAGTGCAATTTAAACATTAAAAAATCCTTCGTGTAAGGGTGATCAAATACTGGAAAAGTTGTTTAGTCTCCATCCCTGGAAATACTCAAAACCCAACTGGACAAGTCTCTGAGCAACATCCTCTAGGTGACCCTGCTTTCAGCAGGAGGCTGGATCAGATGATCTCCAGAGATCCCTCCTCACTATAACTATTGATTCTGTGGCCAAATAGTTTCTATGCACTTTACTCAGCTAGGAACACTGGAATCTGACATCAGAAGTACTAACAGATACTGGGATTCATGATTATTTCTCTTTTGGCACTATGGTAGTCTCATAGCCCTGCTGGCTTACATGAAATTTCTGAAAACTACAAGTGCTGGGGTACTTTTTCCCCCCTTCTCATGACCACTCCTGAGATGCAGTCCTATGTAAAGCCGTGGTTATTGCAGAAAAGGAAAGGAAATTCTGAAAACTTACTCATTTCCATGTATTCTGGAGTCAGTCCAGTGAAAGGTTCCAAGATGTAGTCAAGATCCCATTGCTGACGGTCCTTTGATTGGTTGGTGTCCATTTCCTTTAGCTCAGTTCTTTCATCCTTCAGCTTCCTGAACAGCTTCTTGAGCTTTCTGAGGAACAAAAGTTCAGACTGAACCAAGTCTGGTTTTGTTTTGTTTTTGTTTTTTTTTTTCCTAAAAGATTTGGCTCAATTCTTTGCACAGCAACACAAAACTAATCTTGTGTGCACCACAGGGCAAGTTTACACCACCCTGGGAAGTTCTGATGCTGTTTATTGATAGGTACAAGCTACTGGAGTTGAATCTAGTACTTCATAATATTTTTCCTCTTTAGATGTATATTCCTTCCCAAGGATCCTTGGACCTAAGTAACATTAGTAATTAGTGCTTTCAAGAACAACACAGTGAGCACCTCTCATCTTAACAAAATACAAAATGTAAGGGTTTCATTCCACATTTCTACTCCAGGCACACTTTTATCTCATTATAAAAATTAGGAACTTCCAGTATAATAGAATTTTAAGGAAAAAATTACCAGACATTCATGGGTTCCCCAGAGAAGCTGTGACTACCCCATCCCTGGAAATGTTCAGCACCAGGTTGGATGGGACTCTAAGAAACCTGGGATAGTGGAAGGTGTCCCTGCCTATGGCAGAAGCTTGGAACTGGATGAGCTTCAAGGTCCCTTCCAACCTAGGCAATTTTGTGATTATAGGATGTTTCCAAACAAAGAGGGTGCAAGAATGTACTGACAGTAGAAATAGCAGTATTAAACACTGTCCCACTGAGATGGGGATACAAACTTAATGACACTGACAAATAAATTAGAGTAAAATGAATAATTTCTAGATGAAGAGTAAAGTTTTCCCTATGTCCCCTCCCTGCTGTGGAGGGACGCCAGTCCTCCGAAAGGCTTCCACCTTGAAGGTCTGTCCCCTAAGATAAAACAAAACTACTTAGTCATGGTGACTAAGCTGTGGACTCCTTCCTGCTTCAGCACCCCATGTTACCTCCTTGTAAACTATTGGTTATTTTATCCCTGTCTTAAACCATTGGTCCTTTTCCCAATTCTCCCCTTCCTATAAAACTCCAGCTTTTGCCCAGTTCAGGGGAAGACTGTCACTGGCCCCCTTTGCTGAAGCCTGCCCATAAAGGACTCTGTGGAATGCTACATGGCCTCCCGTCTCTCGTCCCCGTGTCAGCTGGGGTAACCCATGAGCGGAGCTGAGCTGATCACTGCAAGAGCTGAAATCACATCTAAAAGTGCTAATCACTTGAAGCCTCAGGCTGAGCTCATAGGGGTTATCCCCAGCTGGAAACTGCCTGAGACCTGTGGATGGCCATTCCTTGCAGGACCCCTATCCGGGAAGTCTGTGGCGGTGGCTGGGGGTCAGACTGACCCCTGAACCGGCTGCAACACCCTGCCAATGATATTTTAAATACATATGCATCAGCAACTTCATGCTATTTTACACACTCAGAAATTCCCATGGAAAAAAACAGTAGAATGAGGTATTTATTAGCAAAATATAGTTGAATTAAAAGAAAATAGCCAGATTTATACTTATTGCATATCTTTCTTTTGCAGATGATATTTATCTTCCACAGAAACATACAGCACTATTTTACAGCTCTTCACATACGTGCCATGAATGGAAATCCAGACTAATTCCAGTGATGTTTTGCCAGTAATGTAAGCAGGGCTCTCCCACAAACTCTTCCCCTACAGCTTGTGATAAACCCTTTGAATTGTAGGTGTGTGGCCTGGATGCAGGAATATTTGAGGGAAGGGGTTTTCCTTTGGACCTCCAGGGAAGCAGAACCACTTTCCTGGACCCTGACTTCAGTAGCAGGGCAAGGCTGAGAAACAAAAGCTGGCAAACGCAATAAAGGCTTTGCTGTGTGGGTTTATTGGTTCATTCCCAACTTTACACTGAACCATGGGATCACTGTGTTCCCACAATGACGGAGGAATTTCTGCACCTACCAGTGTTTACAGGACCCATTCCATTTCATCACCAGTATGGAGGAATTGGGGATTGGAAGATACTCTTTAAACAGGTCTAGATTGCATCAAGCCCTCTCAGATCCTGGATCATAAATCTTCAAAAATCAACGGGACAACTCCAGCTTTTGTTTGAGGTGGAAGGAAGATGTAATTCACAAGTCACAAGTCATCATCGGTACTATGGCATTGCTGGTACCCAGGACACTCAGATTACACAGTTTTAATGACAGGGCAGGGCAAATTTAAAATGCTTCCCAAGACAGAACTAGATAAATCCTTACGAAGACATTAACCTCCTACATCATGCAAAGTCAGTTGTTTCAAGACACTAAAATTCCCTTTCTCCTCCTCTGCCTTTATGGCATCCAAAGGAACTTATCTGTGACAGAGGTGATGTACCATTCAGAGGGTAGGAGGCTGGGGTAGGATTTAAAGCAATCACAGAACTCCCAGGATGCTCTTCCAGTATATCCCAATTAATTTCCTAATGTGAGGGACTCTCAGAGGATGGTGAACAATAAGTTCAAGACAGTGCTGATTTCTGTTCCAATGAAATGATACGAGCTATAAATGTCCCTCACACTTCCACGGGCAGATGAGAGTGCTGATCATCTCATTGTCATGGCGCAGCAGCAGCTGAGATAAAATTTGGGTGTCTTTAGATGTGAAATCTGTGCACATGTGATCTAATCCTTCAGCTACAGCACCACAGAATCCAGTTCTGGAGTTTAACACACACACACCTCCCAGGAGAACCCAGTAACTAAAACAATTATTGTTGTTTTTAATGTTTATTTGAGAATACACCAAATCCAGGGCTCAGTTGCTCAGAATAATTTTTAATTTTTCATCTGGTTATCTCTAAGTCAGGCATGAGGAACAGCACCTTTAACCATTTGGAGTTCAGCTTTGAAGAGTGTCTGTATGCTTCTTTTTATGTATTTTTTGAAAGATCAACTGACTGAAAGCAAGCCAAACCAATTATTTCCAATTTTCCACCAAAAAAAAAAAAAAAAA